GTGGAGTTGCCCTAAAATGTTTTACTGTCAGCTGTGCAAATCTGTGAATATTGGTTTGTGACACGTTTTAATTGATTAATTTAAATGCTGTTATTAAGAAATTATCTTTAAGTATAACACGCCACAGTGTATCTCAGATAGGCTCTCATCTATGACCATCTAACCCTAACCCTAATAACACTGTGCCCTACTCATTCTTTGTTTCTTGATTATGTATTAATTTATTCACTTGATAAATTGAATTATAGAGACATTTATTTTTATTTAGATTGTGAGCTCCATGAGGTACTACAATCTTTAAAATCTGTGTTTTGCTTGAGGTTTTTACAATCCCAATATATAGCCTGGAATACCTAAAATTATTCAAGAGGGAGCAGAGAAAAAGGGAAAGTAAAAGGAATCAAGAAGTGATACATAAAATTATGCATCTCACACATATACTACTGGAAATATTTAAGACTATTCAAAATGGGTTTTATTGTGATTGAATTTTTGAAGACAGAACAACTTATCTCTTATAAAAACTAATGTGAAGTTGGGCAAGCTGGTATATGCCAGTAATCCCAGCCTTGGGAGGCTGAGGCAAGAGGACCATTTCAAGTTCGAAACCAGCCTGAGTTACAAAGTGAGCTCAAGGCCAACGTGAACTGCATAATGAAATCCTGTCTCAAAAAGACAACCACAAGAACAACAAAAAACTAATGTGAAAATTATTGATTCTTAAATCCAGGACCTAAAATCCTTTTAAACCCCTAGTAAAATATTCAATTCATTATTTCCCAAATAATAATTTTCCTTTTTAGCTACATAGAATCCTAAATGCTATTTTCCCAAACTGAGAGTTATCATTAGAATAGATTTATTTTTATCAATTGTATGAAGATATTTAATTTATTATCTACTGAAGTCTCACACAAACTTATGTGGAAAAACTGTGTCATAGCTTACATATAAGAAGACCATGAGATACTAAGTAATTTCTCCAGTTTGCCAAATTAACAAACCAGAGTCAGGAATTATTTAGTATTTGTCTCTCTAAAATTAAAGTGTATGAGCTTCTTTATTTGACCATAATGCTTCTAAAAGACAAAGTGGAGAAAGGAGCTGGTTAAAATATATCATGAAAATTATGATTTCGAAAGAACAAATTTTGTGGTATAGGGTACAAGTTGGTTATTCTCAATAGTATTTGAGAGATTAGTTTGTGAGGAGTTAAATTAGATTTAAAAGAATTATCATTTGACAGGGAAATTTTGTGTTCATCCTAGATGTCTTTTTAAGAACATTGGGATGACTGAAGAATCCTGACTGGTGTGCAACAGCTTTTGTTTTAGGAATGCTAAAATTGTTTTTTTGCTGTTCTTCTAAATGTATAAGAAATGCAAAAATAGAGGAGAGACTCCATCTCTTCTTGAATAGTTAGGGAACCTTAACAAAGATAAAAGATCAATCTTGTACATATCTTCATGGATACCGACTTCAAGAGGTTTCTCTTACTGTAGCTAGCAAGCATGATGAATGTCCTTAAAATTCCCCTTCTGCTCTGCCAAAAAGTTTTGTTCCCTGAAGTATATCAGTAGCTCTGTAAGAGAAGTCTAGTATTGCAAATGATAATAGCAGTTTCAATGTTCTTACAATTTTTTTCCCTTTTTTGGTATCAGGGATCAAACTCACGACCCAAGCTTGCCAGGCATGTGTTTATGCAGCTGAACTAAACCCCAGCCCATTTCAGTGTTCTTAATAGTGTTTTCTGAAGAATTAGATGAAGGTTTGGAAAAGGTGTTTTTTTTTTTTTTTTTGATACGAAGCTATATTTAATACATAGTTTGTGAGAAAAAAATGTGCCTTTTGGTAGAGAAAGTATGATTATTTTTAAAAATCACTCTGTTTTCATGCCACTTCTGTTGGACATTCTTTGGTTCTCCAGTAATTACAGTTAATGCTCATGTATTTGTATATGTATGTTAGCGAAATAAGGAAGCGTTCTCAAAAGACAAGTTGTTTTCTTGACAATGAAATGTCAAGATATTCTAGGCATGAACTCATGCTAATAACTTTGCTTTTTATATTTATATAAAAACAAACTGTTTATAGTTTGTTTCAATTTCCTTGTACTTCTACATTCACCAATGGAGAAAAAAAACGAATACAGCTTTATGTGGGTTTGTGTATGTATTTATTTCCACTGGTTATCATTCTTGTTTTGGTTTATCCAGTTCTCACTGACAATTAATTCAACTGGTATTTATAAAACATCATAAGTTGAAAGTGTTAGAAACATTCAATATAAAATTATCATGTCCTTTCCTGGTAGCAGCAGAATTTGTCACCTTCAAATGACTGTGAACCTGAGCTACAACTTAGCCTTAGTGATCATTTCCTTTTCACAGTCATTTTGCCAGTATGTCAAATCAGCAGTTCAGCTGTTGTGTTATCTGAAAGTTGCCACTGACTTTTATCCAAGAAAGACAAATCTTACAAGAGATGTGCCAAACTGATTCCCGTCACATCATAATACCACAACATGAGACTTAGAGATGAGGACATATTGCACCGCAAAGGTTCCTTGCTCTAAGTTCTGTTGATTTAATTGCATGTTTTCACTCTTCTAACAGATCTCACGGACCTTGAGGGGAGACTTTATATAGGCTTACGCAGTGCTTGCTTGACAGAATTTTCACTGGGCATGTAACAGAGACTAGAGAGGAAAAGATCTAGCAAGGACTTTAGCTTGAAATTGCTTTGTTACCTTTGGCAAAACATTTGATATCTTCCTATCTCAGATTCCTGGTTTCTAAGACAAAGCAGTTGAATATGCCCAGAATTTTTATTTTTATTGTTAAACTACAGATTGCTGTAAAATATAAAGGCAAAACCAAGAGATATTCCAAACTACCTATCACAGTGTCTGACACATTATAGGGTTTGCTGCATATCAAATGAATTTAATTCAAATTTGTTTACTCAAAGACTTGAATTAAGTGCTAGATAAAAAGCAGAACTACATTTGTCAAAGAGGAATAACGGTTTCACAAAACACAGAGGCATGTCCAATAATCCAGTCCTTACTTCCTTTATTCTTTCACTGAATCTGCCTAGAGGGCACTGTGTGAATAGCTAAATTTAGTTTCCAAGTTCCAAAACAACCTTAATAAACATAGAATTCTCTCTGACTCCAATATTCTATGTTTTCATGACTTAGACTTGAAAAATTCCTATGCTAGCTCAGATTGTCATATGACAATAAGAAAAGTCTTAATGATATCATATTGTGCCCCAGAGTGTGTGGTGGGTTTGGATGGAGAAACACAAAATCATTTTATATTCTCAACAAATGTGCTACATCCAGATTTTACTATCTTTCCCTCCAGATGTTTTCCCCTCTTGCCACAGAATAGTGTGGGATGTGTTTGAATAAGGAACATTTTCTCAACTGCTCTCTAAAACAAACTGTCAAATTATCTACTGGTAACTACATAATCACAAAAATTTATAAACTATCTAAATAAACAGCTATGTTGATATCATAGTTGCTTTTAAAGATCTTCTAAATAATTTGAGTAACTATAATCTAAGAAATATGACTTGTTGACTAATTAATGACAAATTATTTGCCAACATTCAGTAATAAACAGATTATTTAGTTGGTAGGAGAATAAAATCTGTTAAGATCATATACCTTAAGAATTTCAAAGCTGTTACTGTCATCCTACTATCCCAACTTTCTTTCCTCTTATACCTGTACCTTTGTTAAATAGTAATATATTTGAATCAATGATATATTCAATTAGTTATAAAGAAAAACAGTCAATTGTACCCTGGTGTCCCATATCAAAACTATTAAAACACATCTCACTTTTTCTAAATTTGGTTGTGTCATTCCTTTGTTCTTCCTGTGCTTTCTGTTAAAGAGAGATGGATGCAAGCTGCCAAGCCAGCTTGAATTCTTGAATCCTCCAATGATAAGTACATGTAACCAACTCCTGGCAGTTCTATCTAGATCAGCCTTGCAGTTATCTACCAAACCGGCATGTCCTCCTGGCAAAGAAGAAAGCCCTGAAAGCAAAAACATTTAGTTCAGCAACCCTTAATTGATCATTTTTGTGCTTGATACAGCATAGAAGTCGCAGTGACAGGTTTCAAGGGACCAAGGCAATTCAATCAGAGGGGGTGGGAGGAAAGCTTAATGAAGAAGAACTGACTATTTGTCTGAAGTTCAGATAGTTTAGTTTAGCTAGGAATGAATAATGCAGTGAGAAATCTATCTTGAAAATGCGTAATAACAAACTTAGATTTGTAGGGTGATAATTGAAATTGATGAGAGCACAAGCAGAAATGTGTGGAATCTTCAAATCAAAGAGAGGGTATCATGCAAATTAGCAAATAAATACTAAAAGTGTAGCATATAATAGTAATAACATGCTTACACTAAATGGAAAATATCATTTAAATATATTGTCTTGGGGTTGACATACATGTTCATACTAATGTCATGGTGTACTGCTGCCTCATTCAGAGAATATACATGAGGAAATAATGTAACTACTAAATCTAGAGTTGTAGGGCAATGTGACACAACATATGGAAATGAAGAATGATATTAAGAAGAGTGACACATTTCTATGTCAAAAATGTAATATGTGCTTCATACACCAAGTGTAATTTTAACAGAGGAAAAATGTAGGGCACCCCATTAAAAGAAAAACAAGTTGTAAATTGAAATGCTTTGTGAAACACCGTCATATGCTCTTAAGGACTGATCAATCCAAATTCCATTATTCAGTACTGTCATGTGACAGTCAATCAGGAAATATTTTACTCTTGTACAGTCTAATACCTTTTGCCTTGCCTGAAGGTACTACCTGCAATATGAAATTATTACTTGGTATGATGCTTTGACACTACTTTAAGAATGAAAAATCTTTGGGAAAAAACTGTATTCTTTAAGTTCATGCAGCATAAATATAAGTCTCTGTATTGTCACTATTGTTGTTTTTCAGCCCCTCTGACTGATAAGCCACCCAAGCTTTTGTATCCTGTGGAAAGTAAACTGACAATCCAGGAAACTCAGCTGGGTGAGTAATTTCTTAATTACAGTTAATACACTTTTCTCCAATACACTCTGACAGTTAATAAGTCTAGATTGCAGCTGCAATATGCTGAGCTAAATGTACGCATAGCTGATATTCCATTCTCTGCAGTGTGTGTTTTGGGACCAAGCTATTTAGGTGGTTGTTGAGAAATGAGATAGAATGAAGATATTAGTAATGCTGTTATAATGGCATATTATAATGTTTGAATTGGTTTTAAAACCAACAATGTGGAATTATTTGTCTTATAATAGTATTCACTATTACATTAAAATTCAACCCCCAAAATTTTGAGAAAAGGGTCCAAGTTCATTAAAGTGAATGTCATAATTATGATTTAAAACATTTAAAAATTTGAACTTGATGTAATGGACATTATGTTAATTACCTTTGGATAATATATTATTAAAATATGAGCAAGTGACCTTTAGTTAAGGGACTGGTAATTTTGGACAAATACTGTAAACAAAATATGCTTTGGGTAAAATATTCAATTGTATATAAATCAGAATTTCATGTATCTTAGAGATAAGACTTTTTAGGCTGATTTAGCTTTATTCAGTTACATTGAAATGTGAGAAATTTTTCCTATTAATTGTAAATATGTACAGCATATTTCATTACTTCCTCACTCTTTATTTTCACCTGAAATGTAATAGGCATCTATATAAAATTATTTGATTTTAGTGGTTTGGTATAAAATTATTAAAATTATAGTTTCACCTATACAGGCATATTGTTAAGAAATTAATTCTTATATTAATCAATTTAAAATGAAAATGTGTTTAATATATTCTACTAAAAACGAATCAGTACCTCATCCCTTAAGTTTTGATGGGTTTGTTCTTGGAATGAGGATTTGGATGAAAATTATAAATAAATTTTCCAAGTGAAGATAAAATGTGGTAAACTTGACTAATTACCTAGCTAAATTATAATGGACAAAAACAAGATAGTGTTTTAGAATCTTTAAACCTAGTCTCAATGAATTTCTAGCACTGGAAATTCTTATATTTGCTAATTTGAGTTATGGATATATGCAGGCTTTATGCAAGTTAATGTATTAATATACTTCTTTGGCAATAAATTCAAGTCTTTTGAAGTAATATCATATACATACAAGTAATACTATATTTGTTTTACAATAGAAGACTATATGTATCACACCTAAAATGAAAAGATATACTGAATTTGTACCATAGGATCCTATGTTGAATTATTTATTGTATTTAATAAACAAAACTTGAAATAGAAGCTTTTTTGGAGTATTGGGGTTTAAATTATGCCTTCTCACTGTTTTACAATCCCAGTTTAGAACATTTTTGTTATTATTACATGTTTGAGATACATAATGAATAAATTACTTGTGGGAAGTTATTACATGTGCATAGTCTTTTTTTACTTTCTCTTTCCCCATCACTCCTTTTTTTTTTTTTTTATTTTGAGATATGGTCATTCTAAGTGACTAAATTTAAATGACTGGAATTTAAGATCTTCCTACCTTAGCCTCCCAGAGTTTTGGGAATGCAGACAACTTCACCATACCTATCTTCTGAAAGATACTCTCATGAGTGACCATGCTTATATAGAATTTTCAATAACTCTTAGGAAGGTGTATTTCTATGGAGTTATGTATAATTCCAAACATCGACGAGTTTAGTGGTACCAGTTATCACTAATGAACACAACAAAGATGAAATTTTTATGTTTTCATTTGTATGTCTTTACGTGATGACATAAGAGAATTTTATATTTGATAGTTGAACATTGGGTTTTGTTGTTGTCACTGAATTCAGGATAAATGGAATTGTTCTTTACTTCCTACTATACTATCTTATAAGAAGGAATAAATTGGAAAGATATTTTTCTAAAACTATTATATTTTCTTGAATGAAACCATAAATGGTATTGAAAATATGAAAATTTCTTATGTATATTTTAAAGATTTGATGATACATTCATTAGGAGGAATATGGTAATATCTATTAACAAAATTCTCAAAGAAGTACTCTAAATAATTATTGCATAGAATAAAAAGTTCTCTTTAACCAAAAGCTAAACTGAAGCTACCTACCTGGAATTTGATTATTTAAAAAAGCTTTTAATTTCTGATTTTAGTTCTCAGTGCATCAGAAAAAATCATTGTCTGGTTAGAAAAATATTATCCTTAATCTTTAGATTTTTTTTTGACAGCAGGTGATTTGGAATAGTTGTCTGTCTAGTGTTACTAGAAGGTAAATAAATGATAAAATACATGAGCAGAAATAAAAAAAGTCTATTTAAGATACTCAAGGTACCTAAACTATATTGTTTTCCACCACATATACTTTCATTTTTCACTTCCTTCCTTTTTTCTTTGATTTTTAACTTCCTTCCTTTTCAGTAAAGAAAACTATATTGTTTTCTACCACATATACTTTGATTTTTCCTTCCTTGATTTTTCACTTCACTTCCCTTTCCAGATTTTAAAAAGCTATCAATTCCAGCAGGTTTATTATATGATAACCAATCTTAAGAAAAGAGGACAGAATAAAGTCTTGAGCTAGCAGTAGGCAGTAGGCGATGGTCTGCCTCACAGATGGGTGACCTGTAAGTGGTGTCTCCCCTAATGAAAAGGTAGGAGTCGTAAGAGAATTCCACTGGTCAAGAGTGCAACGGTGTGTTTCAACCTGTTCTTAAACTGAAAGATGATCTCAGAATATACTGAAGCTCCTAAATGAGATACTATAAGAAAAATTATCAAGAACTACATAAAGTTGAGGTGACATGTATCTAGTGATATATCTAGCTTCCTTTTTAAATTGCACACGTTTGACCAACCTGATAACTATAAGTGTGTTGATTCTCTGGTTTCTGCTCAATTATATACTATGCATTACTAATGATCTTCATTAAAATCACAAATTTCATGGATTTGCCCTTGATCTCTACTTCACTTTTCACTGCCACCTGTTGGCCATGCCTGCCTTTCCTTTTTTATAGTATACTTACATGCATTTTGTTCTACTCCCTTCATTCTTTCAAACTGGACAGATTTGATAGTGATCACTGAAACTATTTCGTTGTAGAAAACAAAAAGAAATAAAAGCAAAATACTTAGAAAACGATAATGTAATGACAACTAAATCCATGTAAAAGATGGAAGTTCGTGGGTTTGAGTTGCAATCAGTATGTGGTCAGAGGCTGGCATTTCCGCTTTAAGTGACATCTGTGTGTTATTTCAAAATATGGGGAAAAAAAGAGAACTCTGTCCCCTTTAAATAACTTTCAGGCATCAGCAAATATATGGACAGCGTTTTCTTGGGCAAAAGGCCCAGAAATCAAGACATCACAGTGTACAGTTCTGAAGGTCAATCCAAAATGTGAGCCTGACTTAGTTCTTGCAGGCTGCAGTAGTCAAGGGAATCAAAAGGAGGACATAATTGACTTGCCAAGCTTGTGCCCTGTAGATGTCATTCAGAGATTCTGTGCAGCCTGTTATGGAGAGGAATCCACTTTCCGAAGCTTCCAGAGCAAAAGAAAGCATATTCCATTGCTACCAGACTTCCAAAGAGTAAAAATCCCCCCTAACCGGGACCTAATAAGACACATTACATTGTACTACTCAGGATTTGCTGAAAATCATTATATTGCTAGATATGGGGAGCCCTATATTTATATTTTCCTTTTTATCTTTACAAATAATTATGTAGGTTAATGTAGAAATTAGGTGTAAAGGAAAATAATGTTTTTCTTTTACTTTAAATTTCAAGTACATTTAACCTTTATTAAAGAGCTTCAGAAAATATCTTCTTCAAGATTACATGATATTTATGTGAACAATTTGTAATTTCATATACACTAGTACCTCGGTTCACAAATGCTTTTGTTTGCAAACAATTTGGTGTGCAAACAGAAACATTTGGCAAAATGTTGTTTTTGTTTGCAAAGCGCATTGGGTGACAAACATTACCATAGCCATCTTTCCTGCACAGACAAAAACATTGCATCTTTTCCAAAATCAGAGTACTTATTAAGTTCATAAACTGAAGTGTCACAGCATATGACTGGAAATCCATACTTTTTTCGGTTTTCATTATCTCAAATAATGATGTGATGATCTTCGTGCATAACTTTTCCTCTTGACTTTATGATTATTTCTATAGGACAGATTCTCAAAAGGAAAAATATTGGATGAAACAAAGTTGATTGGTTAAATATTTTGCTACATATTTTATAGTTTTCACCAGGGAAATTATACAAATTATCACCAGAAGTATATAATGATAATAGGAACTTTTAAATTTGTAACAAAATGATTTATTTGTGTTCAGAGCTCTTAGGAAAAATATCTTTCCTTTGATATCATAGAAACTACTCCCACTCCTGTGTCTTTTTTCTCTCTTTACTCATTGTTTTCGCTCAGTAAATGCAATTGACTTCTCTGTTTCTGAGTTTATTCACACTTGTTGGGCTTCAAATAATCGAATTTGTTTCAAAAAAGTGACTATGATAAATGAATTATAGAAATCTAACTGAATGTCTACAGTGCCTATCCAGTTTATTGTCCTACTCATTCTAAGGATCAATTGAAAACTTCCTTTGAATTCTATTTCTTAGTGAAATATGTATCAATCTTGTGATGTGCTCTGGGCATATGGAAATTCAAAAAATACTAATAATATATAGTGGTGCACATCTTCAAATTTTCTGCAAAGTAACATAGGGAGGAGACTGAACTCAAAAGGCTGGCAACCAGTACTTTTAACTGTTTTATTTTTTATTAACTTATTCTCATTTGTTAAATTTGCTAAAAAATCAAACACTGAGTATATCTGAGTGAATCAAAAGGATTAATCAGATGTTAGCATCTAGAGAAAGGTGGCTGACAGCATAATGAAACTTCACATTTTTGCACAGGTCTTGGTAAATGGCCACACACACATAGATATAAAATGTCATCCCATTTGACTACTGCTTAATATTTTAAAATTTCACAATAGAAA